GCTCATTCCACCATCTTGGAGCCAGGACAGCAAACCCACATAGTTCCACATGAAACATAAAAACAAAAAAGATATACATATCTCTCCCCACAAGAACAGGATGTTTCACCCCAAAACATATTTTAAAATGCAGTTTGTGGGGGGACTCAGTCTGTAGGGACTTGTTTCGGGAACCGAGGGGTCTTTGGTTCAATAACTAATAAAAGTCTGTCTTTCTTTAAAAAACATCAAAATATCTTGAAATGATTGCACCACCATTATTACCCTGTATCTATTCTTCCACCTCCCTCTCTCTATTTCCTCTTCTTAACAACTACTTTTTCTCCCTCTTGTAACAAAAGATGTCTAATCAATTCTCACATGCAAACAGTACAGCCATGGCCGTATCCACCATTGAGGTCACCGAGGTCCGGACCTCGGTAATTTTTTTCGAGCTGTGTATAACTAAACATTGTGAAATAATTGCACTAAACGGGGTTCTTTGTAGTACTTCCATTTACTGACCATGGGGGCGCTGCATAAGTACGTAGCCTCGATTAAAGCAAACAGAAGAAGATGACATGTATCAACAAACCACCGCAGCCCGGACTTGTATCGGAGCAGCGGAGGAGTGATGAGGTATCTAGAGATCTGAGTCCAGAGGAGGAGTGATGAGGTATCTAGAGATCTGAGTCCAGAGGAGGAGTGATGAGGTATCTAGAGATCTGAGTCCAGCGGGCTGCTTGTGTTCCTGTTCATCAGGACATCATATGAGCAGCAGATCCTGTGTGAACGCTCTACGTTAGTCACTGGACGTCCGACAACATGCACACTAACTGATATTGCAGCTATAGGCTATACTTTGGTTTAAATTGCGTGAATAAACTAGCTAGAGAGCTAAAGTTAATTACATTCATCCAATGTCAGAAGGATTACCTTTTAACAAACGTTTTAATGTTTTTCTTTCATTTCAATTTGAGTAAAACATTGAAGATATAACATTGTGTTGTTTTCTTTTTACACTGACTCAGATATAATGAAAATACTACGTCAGTCGAAGCTCAGCTTTGGTAAGAGAGAGACAGGCAGAGAGAGAGAGGAGAGAGAGAGGAGAGAGAGAGAGAGAGAGAGAGAGAGAGAGAAGAGAGAAGAGACAAGAGAGACAGATGAGAGAGAAGAGAGAGAGATCTCATCTCCTTCTCTCTCTCATCTCCTCTCTCTCTCGAGAGATGGGATATACTCTCTAGAAGTAGAGAGCTTAGAGGACCTAGGATAGACTCTATAGATATCCCCACTCTCTGCTCTATCTCGCTCTCTCTCTCTCTCTCTCTCTTCTCCTCTCTTCTCTCTCTCTCTCCTCTCTCTCTCCTCTCTTATAATCTCTATCTCTCTCTCTCTCCTCTCTATCTCTCCTCTCTCTCATCTTCTCTTACTCTCGTCTCTCTCCCTCTCTGCCCCTCTCTCTCTCTCTCTCTCCTCATCTCTATCTCTATCTCTCTATATCTCTCTCTCTCTCCTCTATATCTCTCTCTCTCTCTCTCTCTCTCTCCCTCTCTCATCTCCTCTCTCCTCCCCTCTTCTCTCTCTCTCTCTCTCTCTCTCTCTCTCCCTCCTCTTCTCCTCTCTCTCTCTCTCTCTACTCGCCTCTCTCTCTCTCTTCGCTCTCTCTCTCTCTCTCGCTCTTCTCTCCCCCTTCTCTCTGCTCTGACTGGTCTCTTGGCCTTTGAGGTCTATTGCTTGCAGGTACATCACACCAAAGAATGTCGCTTATAACCCCATCTAACTATCTATCAACAATAGTCTTCATTTACAATAGGCATAATTGTAAAACAACATACATCTATTGCAGTTATGATGTCATAATAACATACAATTGTATAAAACACTGTTTTCTTACATCTTTGTTCTCTTTTGAGAATCAAACAAAACAGATTTAAAGTAAAAAAATAATGCAAACAAACGAGTGAAATGAACTAAATAGCTGAATTGCTTTTAATTCACTGGCAGGAGCGACAAGTGAGGAGGAGCAAACAGGAAACAACGAGGGAGAGGTTGAACAAAGAGAAAGAGTAGAGGACAGAGAGACTCAAGAACAGAAAGAAGACAGAGAGAGTAAAGAAGATGGAAGAGATGGGGCAGGTTATGGAAAGGAGAGAGACATGGAAAATGAATGTTGACAATGTTTTGTGATCATTTTAGCCTCTTCTGCATGTCCAGATCATTAATAGTAACAATCAACTGATTCTTATGTATTACACTTTCAAAATAATGGATGCTGACATTGTCAGCCCACTGACATGGTTTGAAATCAATATATTATCCAATGTGTGACCCCCCACAGGACTTAAAAAGCACCTAACTAGATCATGAAAATCCCCCAAATCTCGGGGGGTATCCCCCGAACCCCCCTAACATCTTTGGACCTCGGTATTTAGGAAATCCTGGATACGGCCCTGAGTACAGCTTACATGCAGACTAAAGATGGCATTCGTTTTATGACCGTTGAAGCCACACACCTTGTACAAATATGTACACAACAGTGACATGTTTACCACTCTGTATGTTGTTGTTTTAGTGTCACGTTTCCCTCCCTCTCTGCCCCTCTCTCCTCTGCAGCCCCTGAGACCCTGCTGTGTCCAAATAAAGGCTGCAAATAGCACCAGCGGCGCCCTGACTGGATGTTTTCCCGTATTACCCACAGTGCTTTGCCCACTGCCCCGATCACCATTGGTGTTGCTCTCTCGGCAGCTCCACTCGTGTTCCTCCTTCAGGACTCGATCGGTGTGTTTCCCTGCATGCTCAGAATAAGCCCAGAGATCTCCAATTACCCTCCTCTCACGGATTGCTCGGTGTCACTCGCCGCCTGCCGCCTGGATCTGATGTTTCTGCGCCTGCAGTGTAAAAGGATAGTTGTTCAGTTCTCCTGGCGCACACTGTGCCTGTTACAACCAGTAGCGTGGCGTGGGGAAAAAATTAGGGGAAGCCAATAATACGTCCTTTCTTTTGGGTCGGGGGTGTGGTGGTGGTCAATGTAATAACGTAACCAGATGAGTGATTACAGCACCCGGTATCATTTTACACACATTTGTATCAGATGCAGGACTTACACACGCCTGTTATCTAACCGACAGGTCCGCACGCACTCTCCAGCCGAAACTCTAATAAGCATTCATTCACAAACTAAATCAGGAGACCTTTAACGTTTTACGTCCGATACACTCCTTTTTTCCTCGCTGAACACAGCTCCAGTTTGGGCATTGGCCTGTCATCAGATTGTATTTGTTGTTGCTGCTGTAGCGGAAGTTTAGTACAATTATTTTTGATGAAATACTCCAAATCTCCACCCTCCATAATTGCACTTGCTTCAGTTGCTTGCTACTTTCTAACGGCGGTGAGAGTGGTGCAGTGGCGCTATCTATCTTCTATCGATTAGATTTATGATTCGAAAATGATAAAAGTAGGGTAGACATGTGGATATTATCCGACTGAACAAAACTTGCATTTATCTAACAGGTTCGTTTTCCACTGACCTTATTTCGAACTATTTTCCTAAATCCTATGGAGAAATCCCATTGCGTTTTTGTCGAGGGAAACCGAGCGCAGCTTACTTCCGGATTTTAGGACGCGTCACTGCAACACTAAATTGATGCGATTTGATTGGATTGTGAGGCAAGGGAAGCCAGCCGCCTCTGGCTTCCCTTGGCATAGCACTGACCAATCACAGGTTGGCAGGGGCATCACGTGAGCCTCATCTGATTGGTCAATCCCTCCATTTCTTTCACCAAGGAAAGCCAGATTCGGCTGGCCTCCTCTCGCAGCAGAGAGTGCAATCTACTGTTTCACCATAACATGTAGAGGGGCGCTGTTGTTTCACTCTTTGTAAAATACTCAATGAGAATGGGGGAGAGACGGCCGGCAGCAACACACAGCAAAGGAGAATTATCGAAACAAAACAAAGTGTTCTTATTTATTTATTTAAATTATAACTACAATCCGAAAAAACAGGGGAAGCCTGGCTTCCATTGGCCTCCGGGAGAAAACGCCACTGGTTACAACTCAATTGGAGCAATTTTAAGACATAGGAAAGCAACTAATTGACACAATTCAAGCTGAGGGGCTTGGGCTTGTTCTCACCCTCTTTAGCCCAACGGACACATTCCTTATTTTAGTTCACCTGTTAAAGCCCAGGGGGTTACGTTTCCCTGCATGGATCCATGGTATGCTGCAGGGGATTGTGGGATTGAGACATTTCTCCAGAGAGTTGGCAGGCACACTTCTGACTAAAGGAGAAGAGGAGATCAGAGGAGAAATGATATTCACCCCTACTTAAAGCAGATCATAATGAATTGTGTACTGATTGACATTCTGTAATTTGTGTTCTCATGTTTAATTGCACTTATAGTAAGTTGTTTTGGATAAAAGATGCTAAATGTAATGATAAAATACAAGGCTTGATTCAGTCGGACAGCCTGAAACCAAAGACGTGTCAATAATTCCTCTGATACTTGGATGCAGAAGTTGTCGAGATATCAGATTTTGAGAAACCCAGACAGCACTCATTCCTCCAAAGTGAAAATGGATTGTGCCGGAATAAGCTCCCATTTTGCGCCATGAAGTCTTTCTGCTGCGGCGACTGTATCGCCTCCTCACATGCACTGCTAAGTCCAGTGGAAAAAGAGTTGACTGTACTGAAACACGGTAGCAGTGCACCGGCTGACCTGATATGGCTGACACGAGGACTCTGAGGACGAGTTTACGTGACGGGAAGGGGGAGGTTTAGCAACAAAAAAAACGAATTACAGTAAAGGCAGGAAGCAGAAGAATGGAAACACCATCCGTCCATCTCTTTTGCTTCAGAATCCTATGTTCTCTTTTATTTTTAGCTCTTTTGGACACCAGAGGTGGACTGAATGGTGATATTTGTCGCCTCCTGGGAACAGCATCCTGATGCTGTCAGGGTGTGTGAAGCAGAACTCCAGCATCAGTGATTTTGTTGCCAGGGGGAGGACTGTACCAGCAGTAAACGTATTCATAAATGTGACTGTTTGGAAGTTACATGATAAAAGAGAGGATGAATGTTACAGTGTAAATGAAAGCAGCAGCAGAAGAACTGGAGCATTTTAACAGTAGTTATAGTATAGAAGTTGTAAGAACGATGTAGTGGCAGCATTTGTGTATCTATTTCAATGAGTAAAAATCAGTGCTGGACAGTAATTAAGTACATCACCTCAAGTACTGTACATAAGTAGAAGTATGAGTACCTCATACTTCTACTTATGTACTACTTTGTACTTGTACTCCACTAAGACTAGGACACAAATATGGTCATATGGTTATAACTATGGTCGTTGGTTATAACTTGAAGATTAAGATTAATTAAACAAAATATAATCAGCAAATAATTGATCAGGTATTATGTTATGTTGTAGGTTATTAAAGTGGTGACATACTGTATATTGTTCATTAACCGTCCTGTTGTACTCGGGTCAAATTTGACCTGGGATAAAGGTATGTCAGGATAATAGGTGATAAATGTATGTGCCTGAAAATATGCTCCACGAGAAAATAATTATGGTCACTTTCATTAGGTTTTGGGTTTTATTCAAATTTATAGCAGATGTGGTCAAACCGGGAGGACAACAGCCGCACAGTCGATAGGAAGACAACACTAAATGGTACGAACAACTATGAATTTCTTTACTTAATTATCTTTTAAATGAACAACAACATGTGTCATTTATTGCGTAATTCCAACAGGATATAACGAAACTGAATTGACCCTTTGCCACCCAGCTGTATATATATATAGTTAACATAACTCCCAGCTGATTTCCCAACTGCAACATTAAAGTGATGGACACATTGATGCATCAGTAATATATATTCTAAAAAAAAGCTGTTGTGCAATATGTGTATGTAAGTGTCTGACCTGGTGTCAACTCTGAAGGCAGACACTCTGTAAGGGATGAGCTCCTCCTGCAGGCTTGGATGTATGGGACAGCTGATTTTTTTGCATGGGAAGTACATTTTAAAGGCAATACTTTTGTACTTTCACTTAATACACTGTAATATTCCTACTTGTATTTAAGTAAAGGTTGTGAGTACTCTGTCCACTACTGGTACAACTTGAAATAGCTGCATCAATGAAAGCAGCAGTAATAGACGAATGTGTACAAAGAGGTATTGTTTTATACTTTATGTCAATGTATGTGTATAAACCACATTTTTAAAGTGTATTTCCTGTTTTTTGTAATAACCTGAAGAGCTGCTGCAGTTCTCTCCTTTGCCTCAGTGCTGCCTGCAGTTCTGCTTTCAGCCTCTAGAGGGAGCTAATGTTCACTGTTGCATCTGTAAAACCATGCACCAAAAACTGTTTACTTATATGCAATTTTAATCTGATCAATTTAGAGTATGAAGAAATGTTCCACAACACTGAATCAAGAACACATTTACGATCTTATAAAACACATTGTAACGCCACACTCCAGTATTTACAGTAGGTAGTAGTACTTCAAGTTGAACCACCATTCATCCAAAGATTAAATAAATAAAGCTGTAACAACTCGGTAAAAATAAACAGAACAGTTCATTAATCTATTACTCATTTCACTTGAGAAACATATTTACTTGTGGTGTCAGCTCTGTATGTTATACTGTCATAGATGATCTTGTTTCACTGGGCATAATCATCAGGGTGAGATGTGTGTAAAAGGTGATGGCTGCAGGGAAAAGGTCCTGACTAGAAATAAAGCTCATTAAAAGACAACTAAAACCTGTTTAATGTAAAAAAAAAAAGGGGAATTCTTCAAATTATTGTGAATCCACAACCTGGAAACCGAACGATATGTTTGCATTGCCAGAGTTACTGCTTTTGTGTTTGCATGAATGTAGGCATGGTAAAATGATTAAGAAGTGACAGTCACTCTTGTCTATGTCACTGTGACATCCACTGTCATGTTGTGTTGCATTAGCCCAGATAAGGTATTGATCCTTCCTGCTCTGAGCTGGTGCAGACAGGCCAGCAGCCTCCAGGGAGCTCGCTGTATATCTGAGATCTTTGTCCTTCCTCTGTCCTCACTTCCTCCCTCTTCATCACCTCCACTCAGTCACTACCTCCTCTGATCTACTCTCCTTATTTCATTTCCCCCCCTCCTCCTCTTCCTCCTCTCTTTTTCTGTGGATAACCTCCATCTCCTCTCTCTCCGTCCATATGTTTCTCCTGTGGTTCCCCTCAATGCCTCAGTGTCCACCGTGCAGCAAGACTAAATGAGCGGGGCTCGCACAATGCAAGGTAGGGAAAATAAATATTCTGGTGTCATGCGTGGGGAGGATGCAGAGTGTTGCAACGCATTTTGCAGCGTCATGATGCAGCAAAATTAGAAAGCAATGCATATCGGTTCAAACATATGTTCCTCGCTTTCTTTTTCCAGAGTTAAAATACTTCAGGGATGGAGCTACGCTGGTGATTTCATTGGACGGTTTTAATTGGCTTCCTAAAAAGAGATGCAGTGACAAAGAAATCAAGAAAAGGTATTATTTATGTCTTGTTAACTTGGATGTTTGTGTCTTGTTTTTGGTGGAATAATGGATGTCTATTTGTGTACTGGCTGTTTATAATCTGTTTTTACCTTGACCCCTCCACCTGTTACACGGTCGGGTGTTAATTGACCTGAAACAGGGGAGATTACAGGCTTCACGGCCTAATGAATGCATGTGTGTGTGTGTGTGTGTGTGACCTACAGTAGTGTGTGTCCTTTCACATCCTTTACGTCACTGCTGCTGTGAGTCAGCTCCCCTCTTCCTTTCCTGAGTCACTCATCCAGCGGTTGCTTGGTTACTGCAGAGCTGTAAAAGTTTCCTATTGCGTCTTTGTCTCCGCGGATGGATGGGCCCCGATATTTATTCAGGCTCAGGAGTGAGTGGCCAAATAATGCATGTGTTTGTGTGCGCGCTGTTTCATCAGTTTTAGTACATCCTGTTGTTAACAGACACTCGAGGGGCTGTCTGTGCGCTGCAGCTGACCTCTTACATTTCCAATGGATCAGACAGAAATGGAATAGTATTTGACCGTAATAGGAGATTATTTTAAGAAAAGCTGACTTGTTATTTTGAATTAAAGTGCCAGCCAGTGTGCTCCAGCTAAAAACCCCAAACTCTTTGACTAGGCCCTTTAACAGTCCCTTAAAACACGTTATTAAAAGACAGATATATGCAAGCAACATTGTAATTGGTATGACATTATACTTCTTTTGCTATATGCTTTTTCAAAATGTAGGGGGAAGGCTTAAAAATGTCACTCAAAGGAACACATACCAAACAGGTGGGGACTACAAATTACCACAAAGAAACCGAAAATGATGACAAAGAAATGCAAAACAACTGCAAAGTCACACAAACTGACTCACGGCTAGGGCAAGGGGAAACCCCTACCACAAAGAGACACAAAATGACCACACGTAAAGACAAAATGATTACAAAAAGGGACCTTATTTTTCGACAAAAATAATGGTGGTTAAAGGCAACAAACTTTGTGATTCTGTTTAAATTGTGTCTTGAGATACAAATATGATGTTTTTCAATTTAAGATTATTTAGCAAAGTAAAGATTTGTTGTAAAAGTATTGAAGTATGAGGCCGTGGAAAATACGTTAGAAAAACGACCTACCTCAAAGGTTTGCAGGTGACGTCATAACTTTCTCACTGCAGTGCGATGTCTGCATGTTTTGGGACTAACTCACACAAGCAACAGGTCTTCGGAAGTTGCTGAAAAAGAAAACCGTCATGTGGAATTCATTACATAATTCAAACGGGATACTTTTTTAGTTTTTTGCCATTGATTACTGTTCATACTTTTAGCTGAAATAAGGTCGTATAGGGGAGACTAGAAAGGATGGAGCTTTGTCCATCTATTCAGGGAAAAAGGACTATTATAGGTAGTACAAAAACTGGCTAAAACTACAAAAATATGACCTGAGTGTTGTGCCTGTTTACAGATTGTACGGCTACACCCTGCGTTTCGAAGTGAGTCTTTGCACGTGTTGACAGTAGAAACTCTACAGTCCACGCTTACCACAGTACGGTTAAATACATCTAAATATAGTTAGATACACACACACACACCCAGCCATCTGCCATTATAGGATGATTAGAGTTGTTTGACAGGCCCACAAATGTTTGACATCCTTTACTTGTTCGTAATGACATAATAAACAGAACCAATGCAAACAATAGGAGTCTGAATAAGCTGTTGTGCATTACCTTACAGGAATGAAGAGCTCCAGCTGTTCATATCCTCCGATCAGATGGTCCAGGCTGATGAAAAGCTGCAGACCATCACCTGCATCCTCGATCAGAGAGGAACTGCTTCCTCTGAGTTATGGCGGAAGAGTGACTGCAGATCCAGTCTGGTAACGTCGCCAAAACCAATCTCTACCCCTCCTCAACATCAAACTTCAACACTCACTTCCTTCGTTTCTTTTGTCCCAGATTACCCAAAGGACACCCCATGGACGAGACTAATTCTTAGCATGCAGGACATTTTCAGCTTGATCAAAAGGGACTCAAACATGGTGACCCCACAGGACTGTGTCACAATGAATCAGCTTAATAGCTTTATCATTTTCTGTGATGAGGACATACCACTTCAACGTTTTGGGGACATAACCGCGGAGGATTGTCGGACATCTAAAGGGGATACTGACTGGCATTTTAGTGATACCAACATGTTAAGTGATTTGAAAAACTTCACTGCCCATGCTGCCAACACCAAGAACTCTAACAGGAATACACATGAACTGGTTATCAGAGACAGTTTTAACAACCTTAAAAGTCTTCTGAGGTCTTATCAAATATGCGATTCACCAGGAGAATTGTCTCGGACAAACATGGATGTAAAACGGAGGAAGAGCGTGTCCTTTCATGATGAAGTCATTGTCTTCCTGTTTGATCAGGTACTGGTTTCCTATGTGGGTGTTTGGCTTTGTTTCTCATGTAGAATATGCACTTCAAATTCTCTATTAATTCACTATTTTGATCTTAACAAAGGATATGACACTTCCATAGTTTCCTGTTTAATTTAGACTGACTTTCCACTGTTGCCGTTCTTAGGAGAGTCCCACCATGGAGCTGCACCCTGAGGCCTGCACATCTCTGCCAGATGTCACATTAGAAGACAGTGGTACTATTTTTAAAAGATGATACCAGTGGTTGTATCCTTAGTATTTCATATAATTAACACCTTTGACCATTTTGCAGAAGTGGAAAGTCCCATTTAAGTACATTTACTCATTTTACTTATTGTAAATTGAGTAAATTAGTATAAAATGTATTTTGTTCTGAAATGAGGATCTGCATCCAATATTTAAAAAATGATTTCAGGGTGAAATAGGACCAAGATGTTAGGAGGGATAATTAAAACAAACAGTTCTTCTTTCTTCCTTTTTTTTATTGAAGAATTGTATTTGTTGTAACTGGTCGAAAATGTATTGAACGTCACTGAATATATTTGCTTATGGCTATATATATTAAAAAATATCTATAATATTAGCCATACTAAATACTTAAACTGAAATTCCTCTGACAGTGTACCAAGATCAAAGCGTGAAACTAACTTTAATGTTCAATGCTGCTGTTGATGCTGCTAGATATTGGCACTTCATCGTCACTAACTGTGTGTTTTACCTGCAGGCCTGGAGTGGGAAGACGAATTCTCAGCGTTGGAGAAGAACTGCCATTTTCAGTGTGTCACACACTCTCAGCCACACACCCTTTCCCTGCAGACACCGACCACCGCTGCTTTATCCCGGCATCTCTATCTCTCCCAAACCTGCCTTTTCCTCACCCATGTCACCGAGGCAGACCTTGAGCCATGAGATAAAAAAGGTTAATTAAACACACACACACATGCACACACATTCAGTTGTACTGGTGCTGTTTTGTATGAACCAGTGGTGGTCAAACAGCCAAAAGGCCAGCTCACTGTCACCGTGGCCTAATGTGACATCCACACTTGTTTTTCTTTCAGACAGCCAGCCTTGGCCTAATGGAAAAACTGACTAATCGGGCAGATCTGGTCCTCTTCACCTTCTCCCTCCTCTTTTATGATGAGTCAGGGACTTTAATGGCTTTTCTCCCTCTCTCTGCTTGAAAGCACCTGCCGTTCGTGACATCAGAGCCACGTAGGACTGTGTGACGGTGCATTCAGCTTTCACAGTTGTTGGTGTGACAAGATCCCTGGAAATGATGTGAGAAAAAAACAGCCAGTTGCATACAAATCTTAGTACCTTTCCAGCTGTGGACCTCTTTGGAAGCTGCTTTCCATGCCAGGTTATGTCCTTGGACTTAATCTGTGAATAGAAACACACATTTAAATTTCAATAAACATCATTTACTAAAATTGTGTCTGAAATCTCGTTTAAGTTGTTGTTAGAATTCCAGATTAAGGAGTTTGTGTTGTTTATTTATTCAGTTTGTTGTCATGCTTGTGGAGGCCCTGTTTGCTCGCCTCATTACTAAAGTGTATTCAGCTCAGAATTTATCAGCGGCTGTGGCTGAATCAACAGAGTAAGCCGGAGAGCCAGTGAAGCCAGAAACTGAACAAACTAAAAGTAAAAGATAATGTTTCCACAGTGGCAGCATCAGCGAGGTTTGGTTGATTAGATACAGTGTACCTGAGGAAACACACACACACACACACACACACACACACACACACACACACACACACACACACACACACACACACACACACACACACACACACACACACACACACACACACACACACACACACACACACACACACACACACACACACACACACACACACACACACACACACACACACACACACACACACACACACACAAGCTGTTCAAGGACACCAAAGTGTTTGGCTGTCACACCTGGAATTCTGTTGTTGTTGCATATTTGTGATATTCTCACATTAATGATAATGTTGCTAAAAGCCAAATTACACTGTTATCTTTTTACTTAAATCCTAAAATACTCTTTGGTAATGTCCTATTCTCAACTGTAGGCTTCTACTATGTTCTTTGAATTATTTCTGTTTAAGCTTTTTCTGGTGTTACTTTACAAAAGAGTTCACACATACTATTACAGGTTTTCCTTTAAACTAGCGTGCCACTTAGCTTCAAAATGGTAGCATTAAAAGGGAAACATCTGGATTATTAATACTCTCTGTTTTGGCAGAAACTTAACAAACACCATGTGGATTCATTAAGACGTTTCCCTAACTCATTAATTCAATATTTTACTCACCTCTCTGCTACACTGATGCTGCATTTTCTTGTAAGGAGGCACTTGCTAGCTGCTAGCTTACATTGAGCTTTTCCTCAGTTTGGCTCCTGAACATCATGGATTGGATATAACATGTATTGTAAATGTTTAGCCTAGTTATGAACTTTAGAAATCATGATTATAATGTATATTATTAGTACCATTAAACTAACCTACTCTAAGTGAGGCTAATTTATGACAACATAATATAAAATAACAAGCTTGCTAGCTGCTAGCTAACACTTGGCTCAGTTTGGCTCCTGAACCTAATGAATTAAGTATAAAATGTAAAGTAAAAATAACTTTTTAGTAGAGTTATGATCTCTGTAAATGTAAGCTACCCTACTCTTAGTAAGGCTCACCTATGACAACAAAAAGAAAAGCACATGTTGCAAATGAAGACACTTACATTTGGCTACTAATGCATTAAATACCAGGTAAATCTTAGTCTACAAAAACTAAGATTACAATAATGTCAGTCTGAATAAAACCAAGAGACTTAGAAAGGTGGTGGAAATCCTGACCACTATATTAAACCAATTTTGTCATAAAAGACTACTTCTAAATAAATACTCTTATGGCAAACACACACCTTTAGTTATCACAGCAGGTAAAGGACAATAATCCCAACTGCCAACATTGTTTTCAGGTCAAACAGAGTTCAGATCCCACATATGAGTGGGTAAGGCGTAAGTGGATGATTTAAAAAAAAAAGCTAATGATGTTATTATGCTGTCTTCTTGTTTGTTTGGTATCTGTGTTCAGTTTACAATTCGTCTGTCGTTAAAACAGTTTGTCTGGTCAACAAAGGGATAAGTGTGGCTCTGTACATTGAGGTGTAGCCTGTAGGACTGTATTCAAATGAAGCAGCTGAAGGTGATAAACTACAATGGAAATTACGTTAACTGCTCAGAGTTGAGGATGAGGAACCAAAGATGTAGTGTTTTTCAGCACTAAACGACTCAGAAAATCACAAAATCCAAAAGCAGAAAGTCATAGCAAGGTAATGGCCAACATCAGTTATTACAGGGATGTTCATGCATGTAAACTCAGGGCAAAAAGCATTAAATATGTCGTCTTTATTTAGTCCAGGCATAGGACAGGCCAAATAATGTAATGTAAAAATGTTAAATATTGTACTAATGTGGTTTTAATATGATGCTACATTTGCTTGTATAAATAAACACAAGTTGTAAGGAACTTGCACTTAATGATAATAATAATAATTTTCTATTTACATTTTTGGGCACAACAGTGATATAATGAGCTGATAATATTAGATCAGAGACATCCTACATACTTTACTTGTAGGCTAATTTATATTATGTTTCAAGTATTGCTACTATAATGTAGATTTAAAGATTTAAATACTGGAACACCAAGTGATAGGTTATAAAATAAAATGAGGATTTACTACAATGAATTATTATATTATTTTCTTTTGGATAATTTTAGAGACTGCAGTCATTAAGACCTGATATTGTTGGCAGTATTATGACAGTGTGACAGTGACAGCAGCATGTGGGCGGGGCATAGAGTGAGTTCGCTCTCTGATTGGCTGAGCAGCGCTACGTGTACATCAGTCCGCTCCAGGTAGCTCGCATGTGACAGTTATCTGTATGTGTGTGTGAGTGTGTTTGTGTCTGCTGCTCTCTCCTCTCTTCACTTTATATGATGGTGCATTCAATGACCGGCTGCATGATGACGATTTCCCCTTAAACACTCCGGAGGAGGAAAGTTAGTTTAACGTGCAAGGTAAGACTTTTTTATTTAGTTATTAAAGTTGTTTAAGACCCTTTAATGGCTGCTGTGAATATAGTTTACTACAGTGAATGAGTTTTGCATGTTTATCTCATATCAGCAACTACAGATTAAACTTGGGTTAGGAAATTAAATAGAGGGATGTTGATGTAGAAATGTCTCTTCCTTTATATCGTGTGCACATCTATGTAAAACAGCTTTATCTATTTTTTTTTGGCAGTTTTATTACATTAGCATATTTGATGATGTGGTTTAAAGCTTGCTTGTGAACCCCCTTTAAACTACCTTAACTACAGCAAACTTCAACCTAACTTCAGGGAGTTTCTAAATCATTGCTTTGTAAAAAAAAGAAAATAAGTAAAACCCATGGGTTAGTTAAAGAGCATTTGAGGTGAATTATCGCGAGCTGGTTGGACTCCCTGTTCTTGTGAGTGTAACCTTGAAATGGGTATTATCACAGGAGTGTGGGGATAAGAGAGGCTAGATTAACAGAGCAACATCATGCAGTTTTCACACTGCAACAGGCTGATTAGATACAACAGGATGCTGAGCTGTTTGAGTTGGAGGGAGGCTTATTTAGCAAAGGTGGATTACATGCTGCCTGGGAAAAGACTTTAAATTAATGTTAAGATGCCTTTGTGTATTTCAACTTTTCTTACTCGTGGGTGGGTGGGGTGTAGGAGAGAGGGATGGAATTGAATTAATCCAAAAATGTTGTGCAACCTGAATTCTCTTCTGTACTGTGTTGTAAATTGAAGATGTTGCAATAAAAAAAATGTATGATTAAAAAAACTGTTCTTACTCCTGTGCAATTGTGTAAAAGTGCTCAGATATGTAAGTCAAGTAAAAGTAGCAATTGTAAAAACAGTAACACTCTGTTAACATTTAAATTACTGCATTCAAAATCCTAATAAAAAAACAAAAGTAATGGAATCAATTTATACTTAAAGTACTGACAGTAAAAGTAATTGTTGTGGGTTATGATGACTCATTTGAAATTCATATGTTATAAACTATAATTATGGATGCATTTATGCATTAATCACCAGTGGAAAAGGTGGAGTACATTTATATTACTTTGTGTACTAATGCCAGACATAATACCCTAATAATATGTTTATTTATTAGTTTATTTATATTTTGTATTAGATAATAATCTGAATCTGAGAATGGCTATAGAGCTGAAAAATACCTGTAGTGAAGTAAAAAGTGCAATTTCATTTTCCAGTAGAAGCATAAAGTAGCATACAATGAAAAAACTCAAATAAATACCTTTAACAATTGTACTTAGGTACAGTACTTGAGTACATGTACTTCACCACACTCCACTGCTCCTGTGTAACACTCCCATCTTGTCTTCCAGGCCTGTTGAAGCTGTTGTATATACACTTTGTGAGAAAAAGCTGAATCAGGATGAAGTCCAAAGGGAAGGCAGTGAAACCCTCCAGGAGGACGTGGTCCAACCCTGAGCCAGATATAGAAGCAGACACAGAACCAGAACCGGGCTCCAGTGAGCAGGAGGGCTCGGAGGCCTCGGTGCGGATCGGGGGCTCCTGGAGGGGGTCTCTGAGGGGCGGGGGTCGGCGGCGGCGCAGGACCCGCGGCTCCAACACCAAGGAGCGCAGCAAGAGGCGTCTGGAGAGCAACGAGCGCGAGAGGACACGCATGCACAAACTCAACAACGCCTTCCAAGCTTTACGAGAGGCCATCCCTCACGTGAACACCGAGAAGAAGCTGTCTAAGATCGAGACTCTGACCCTCGCGAAGAACTACATCAAAGCCCTGACTACCATCGTGGTGGACATGTCGGGGGCCGGCCTGCCTGAAGGGGGGGTTTCCTCAGAGGCCAATGCCGCCAAGCTGCTCCAGTGCTACCAGAAGCACCTGGAGGATGAAGGGGAGGACGATCTCACTCAGTATCTCACCCAAATGCACAGCTTCAGCCAGCACAGCTAACAGAGGCTGCAGACCAGAGGTGTGTGTGGTGACCTTTGGAGCCAAATATCCCTGGGACCAGAAGTGGGTCTCTGCAGGAAGCGGGTGCTGTTCTCTGACAATAAACCCAACGCTTGCTTGACCATCACAAAAGTGCCCTTCCTGCAAAATAAGGAATGACTTAAGGACCATTCTAAAAAGACTGCAGATCGTGGTTATGAAGAGTAAGAAGAGTCATGTGTTATTGAACTCAGGAACGAATCTTTCGCAATTCTGTGAACTTGTTCTCCTTTGTGTTATCTTGTGATCTTCTTGTGTGTTTTTCTGTTGAGGAACCTGCCGAGCGTAGCCTCTAGTCACAACTGTCAGGAAGAAAGACAAGCGGCCGGCCTGAATATTGAAACGAAGTGAGAAACTGTGTTTGCTCATGACGACAATCTAACAGTCTTCTCACAGCGTGTGCACACAGATAATATTTAAAGTGTGTGATATTTGACTATTTTTTTGTCTCCATGTGTCTCCAAGGCAAAAACATTGTAGCGAATAACATCAGGAAAAACTATTTGGGGAGTTGCTATCAATAAACACATTTATTTATTGACAGATAAGGACTGTTACTTTGACCATGCACAACACTTGAGAAATGTACTCCACAATGTCAACAGCAGGGATGTGTTTCACGCTACAGTAACACAAAGCAATGTTAGTTATTCACAGATAAAACAGACGGATCTCTGTACACTTTCAACATTTCAACAAAGGCTGCATCATATTTAGACGATACATTATGATACAGAGGAATTTAGACAGCTGTTAACATAAATTAAAGCCTGAACGGATACTTATTAATGTTTTAAATTAAACGCTCATGTCAAAAGTAGAAACACTATTCCAGCTTACTATTTTACCATTGCAGCACTATACTAAGTACATAATATTCATATCTTACAGATTTATAACAAAAATATAGTTGTTTTTAATATTTTCTTCTCATCGCTCAGTCATTCTACTAACGACAGGAAGTAAATGCCAACATGCAAACATGCTCCTGAGAAAGAGGAAGGTTCAGTTTTAGCATTTTAACCACAGAACGTATACAAGTAATCCACACTTTTCCCTTATTTATAATGCTAACCATTGCACATACTCCATGAAAACTACATTTAAATAAAGAAAATAAAAGCTTTATAAAACATCAGTTCACTGTTGGTACAAGGCAACCACCACAAGTAAATAAAGCCAGTGCATGTCTTGTTAAAGCTGCTACATACAGGCTCCAAAAGCACTGTAAATGTATAGAAGTCAATGGGAAAACCTAATTTTACAATTAGTAAGCGCCTCAGTAGTACCAACTAAAGCTCACAGAAAAGTGTGTGTGTGTTTGAGAGCTTGCCTTGCTTTAAAGATGTCTTAACTTCACACAGGTTCCACACACATTTGGACGCAATAAACCCAGAACTAGGCTTCAAAAGTCCTTTTTAGAAGATTCTACAGTCATGCTTTTCTGCCGTCTGTCAGATCCTTATTTGCTCCATCCTGTTATCAGATTTCTTATGTTCCAGAGTAATCAGGCTTTAGTCTATTGGAAAGTGTGTTAACCTTTTGCCTGTAGGATAATATTAAGCATGTTTTTAATGTTGTCTTAAATACCAGCCCAGTGGCAGACAGTTAGCAGTCAAGTAGCTTTAATTAAAGTACATTCATTTCATTTTATCATTAAAACCCTACCTTTCCAAGTTCATCTGAACCTAACATGAGGTACTCTATACAAAGAAACTACATACACATGATGAATAAATATGGACAAAATGCATTAAGACCAGCGAGTTCAATGTCAGTGAGCAAAGACAGATAGCAAAGGGAGAGACATTCAGCTCATATGAGATTCTGAAAGTCTAAAACGGAGAACTTTCCGTGACCCTGACTGCAGGACGTGAACACTAAAGGCTGTCCTCCATAGTTTAGAGCTGAATTAGCAGTGCTGCTACTCCAGTGTTAAAAGTAGAAGTGCTTTTAAACAAAAACGACATACTAAATATTACTAGAAAGGTACTATGGTTTAGGAAGGCTCTGTACATTGTGTGTGTGTGTGTGTGTGTGTGTGTGTGTGTGTGTGTGTCTGTCTAGCAACCCACAGCATTGCCGTTGGCCTCCGTGCTCACAAGGAAGGAGCTCTGAGAGGCCAGGCCCCCCAGAGAGGGCAGACAGATGCGGGGCGGCTCCATGCAGTTCCCCCTCACTGTGATGTGGTCCCATCCACCCTAAAGGACCAGAACAGAGGGAGAGAAATCAGCAGCGTGCATTTGTGTTTGTTGCAAGTACACATTTTCACTGGGCACAGAAAAGGATATACAACACTGTGCAGCACAATACAGACATTGGTATAGTTGTCTCTTTGTAGGACACTGATTTAAATTATTCTTAAACTATGAATTCTTTTTATGCTGTGTATGTAATTTATTATATGTAATGTCTTGTCTTTTATCTGGACCCTGAGTCTGTAATAAAGTTTTCATTCATTCATTCAATACACTGTCAATATTATCCTATTCATGTGGCTTAGTCAAGTTTTCTTTATCTTTACATACACAATACGGACACTTTAACCATTTCATATAGTTACACTTCATTTAGCCAACGCTTTTATCCAAAGCAACTTACAATAAACCATGGAAATGTAAACTCAGAACATGAAAGTGCCTTTACTTCAATGAAGCCATATCATTGTAGGTTTATTAGTCTCAATTAGCTAAATCTTTCACACTCAGACCCCAAACTATATTCTCCGAGTCATTTTCTCAATTTACCTATAGGGCAAATACATGCTATCTTCCTGTTCATCCACTAGGGCATTGCTGGTGTATTATGTGTTTGATACATTGCAAACACATATAGAATACACCAGCATATATGATAGATTGTGAACAAATAGTGAGTTAGTGCCTCACCCCGATGCCGTAGTCCCAGGACTGTCCTTTGGGCTCCATGGGTTGGACTCCCAGCCGATGGCACACTGTCCCACAGCTCAGACCATGGCTGCCCTGCACCTTGTCCGCTATGATCCACACCTGCCCCACAACAACAAAAATCACCAAATAAACAAATGCAAGGGTTGTTTATTACCCCAAAGTGTTATTTCTTTGTGGATTCAATTGTTGACATACATTTTGATATATATATGAAAATAATGTGTCCTGGTACTGACCTGGTCCAGAGGCCCTATGGAGACTTTGCGTACGTTATTAGAGATGTGTTCCCAGGAGGATCCCTGAGGGTAGCTGGGGGTCACGCCCTGCCGGTACCACTACGTTACCTGCACAGGAAACACAAAAAACATCATTAGTTCTTGTTATTATTTAAATAAATGTTTGTCTAAAAGGTAAGCTCTAAATACAAATGCAATAGCCTCACCATTTTCATCTACAGTGTACACTGACGTCCTGCCGACAGACACCTGCTTCAGCTTCTGTTTGGCCGGGGAGGGGATGTGGTACCAGCTGTCTCCTGAGGAGGGAGACAAAACACAAAATATTATATTGGTAAAATCATCTTTGTTTAGATTAGATATGATGTAGTAGAAGTAGAAAGATATGTATCGATAAAGTATCTATAGAGTTCACAATATGAAATATACAGAAAAAGTTAGAAAACACTGAAGCTGACACGTTTTGTTTACTAAAATTAATGCTCGTCTAATTTTCAAGTACATCTTATATTTCAAATTAAAATGTGACATTGTCCTCGAACAATATTCCCAGTTTTTTTCTCTGCAGAATATCACAGTTTGTCCTCTGACCTGCAGGACTCTCTGCAGAGACAGATCCTCTGTAAAAGGCAGAGCCGTCCTTGGCGATGGCCCAGACCTGGCTGCCAGCTCCGATGGAGATGGACTTGAAAGGCTGGTCGGTTCCCACGTGGAGCCACGAGGATCCCTGAGAGACAACCGGACGATAATAGGATTATTACCTCCAAAGCATACTTTAAAATAGTTTTTGTTGCAGCAACTCTGGAGGTAATTCTGCATTGTCCATTGATCCTTATCAACAGGAATTAGACAAAGAAAATGTCCTTCTACACTTTTGCATACAAGACATGAATGATTGGATAACACCTCCAAAGCAAGGTGTGTTCTGCTGAGTAAGAATATACAAATATCTCTAAATGTGTCTGGGTGAGTCACCAGACAGTGTTTAACCTGTTCATGGGTTGTCTGTACAGTAAGAGTGACTCACGGCAGGCGTCAGTGTGGAGACTCCCAGTCTGCAGAGCACGTCTCCCTTGTTGCTGATCGCCCACAGAGGAACCACGTCCACGCTGATCTGCGCTGCACACGGCAGGATGGTGACGTCACTCAGGGAGATGGGAGGAACCTCCTGCCACGGTCCGGTGGTCGTCAGCTTACACTTCCTGTGCACGAGGAAAAACACAATGCTCCCTTAACTGCAATATTTAAAGATGTTGCTGGAGTATGAGGTCGAGCAAAACTAATTAAATAACCATAAATAATTCAGGTTAATGTGCTTTTATAGGGCTGAAATAATCCAGTTTATTCCCAAAAAGATAATTTGGTTCGTTGAAAGAATTTTAGGATTGAATGAAAACAGAACGCTCTTATTTTGAAAGGTGAAACCAATAGTGTTAATAGGATTGGAAGAGTGCTGATCATGTGACAATATAAAGTTCATGACAACCCTCCCACACTGGGGCAATACATTCATTTCTGCATGTGTGTATATAGTTAGACAATAAGCATTGTTGATGGGATTTCAATGAACAGACAAGGGACATTTTCACAAAATCACAAAAAATCTATGTTTTGTTCCAAAATAAATTCAGGAGAGTGAGTTATGCAGTTAAACGTTTAATAAGTATTCTGTTTTTTTTAAAGTTAAATAATTGCTCGATTGGTCTTTCAACATCCAGCATATTAATTTTCTAAGAGTGACTTATTGTAATGCTTGGAAAGGAGTAGGATTGTAAAGATCTCCATGTTTATAAGAAATATATACTGTGATTAACCTTTGTTCTACTGATTAATCATCAAATATAGTTTCCGGCACTGAACAAAGATCAACACTTTCTCTCTGCTCTGCCTCCTCTGCTAAAGCTCTGTTGACTTAAAAAAAGCCCTCGCACACAAACAAAAACTGAAAATGTCAAGTGCCCTGGCCCCTCTGTGACCGCTGGCACCTGCTGATCCTGAGAGTAATGTGCCACTGTTGCTTTTTATAGTACCTGGCCCATCGCCTGCGACGCACAAAGTCCTTCAGCGTTTTATGGCCATGATACGACCTGCGTGGATGGGGAAGAGGAAAAGCAGGAAACAATAAATACATTTAAGTCATATCTGTTATGGCTGCAGAGTTTTAAAAAAGAAAAAGCCACAGCAGGTGGATTTGAGATATGGAAACCTACGCTGGAAAATCAGCCGCATACTGCCAGCCGTCTCTGTCCGCCCCCCCCGACACACTGTAGTCCACAGACCAGTCAGACATCTGATAACAGCATAGACAGGAAGTGAAACACCATGGAAGAACACGTCTTTATTTCTGGATACACACCTTATCCGTTCATATTTATAGTTTGATTAGAATTCAATGTTGGTCAATCTGTATACCAAAAGGCTGCTTTCAGATCACCACAGGGCATTTCCTAGAGTGTGTGTGAGTGTGTGAGTGTGTGTGTGTGTGTGTGAGTGTGTGTTTGTGTACTCACCCATGTCCACTGAGGGGAGGGGGGTTTCATATTTGTTTTTGTACACTCATGAAGTCCTGATGAGTCACTCCACATGTAGCGGTCTGTAGGGAGCCCTCTGAAATAACCACACACTTTTAGGCCGGCATGTAACATTTACTTTAATTGTTTAATATTTTACTGAATAATCGATTAGTAGTTATGGTCTATAAAATGTCAAAAATGGTAATCATTGCTTCCTAGTAGCCCAAGATGACTTCTTAAAATGACTTGTTTTGTCCACAACTCAAAGATATAACGTTGACTGTTGAATTTTCTTTTCATTTTAGATGGTGGTGTCTATATTGGAAATTAGCCTATGAATTCCCGTGTTGGAGACAATTCAGCTACCAAAGAAATGGGTTTAGAAAAGGTTTCTATTAAACAAAAATTAGACAGATGTATTTGATAGATGCCAGATGTAACAGTATCCCCCTCTTTAGCTTGAGTCTCACCTGTTGGTGTATCCGGTGACGGGGTTCCACCTCTGGTTCTCATAGATGTAGACGCTCTTGGAGTCTGACTGTGTGTAAATGTTATCCGTGCTGCTGGCCAGGCCCTGGAAGAAGCCGCCTCCGTATCCTCCGGTGTGGACCCAGGCCGTGTGGTCGTAGCCGATCCCCCACACTATACCCACACTGTTGCACTCCACGATACGGAGGTGACCTCCTACCTGCCGCCAAAACCTGTACAAAAGATAGATAGATAGATAAGTACTTTATTGATCTCAATTTGGGACATGTTTGCGTTGCAGCAGCATAAAAAACAAGGCAATGTACACAAGAGAAATTAAGACACTAGAAATCAACAGTCCAAAAATATTTCTGAAATAGAAATAAAATAGCATTAAAGAGTTAAAAAATATACATGTGGAAATACAAATAAGGAAAAAATGCTTCATAAAGGTGGAAGAATTTAGATAACTATAGTTTATAGTATACTGCTTCCACCACCGCACAAGTGATGCTTGGGTTTTCTTACATCTGGTCGCAGGATGTGGGGTAAGGCATGGCCTCCAGACTGGGGGAGGGCTCACTGACGAAGATGTCTCCTTTGCAGGTGATGGACCAGGCGGCCTGTTTGGAGGGAGGACCCTGGATCCCTCTGGAGTCGCAGCAGGAGACGCTCAACAACGCCAGCTTCAGTCGGTAGAGAGGGGAAGGCAGGCAGAGCGGGTCGGAGAGGGAGGGAGAGACGAATGAGAAGTTAAAAATAACTTTGTTGTCATTTTACTGGAGCGCAAGACAACAATACAACACAATGACGACGGCACTCCCTGATATTGAAAACAAGAAAGAAAGAAGGTCGCAGTATAAAAAGGTCAACGATATAAAAGAAGAGTGGTACTAAAAGTGCTCTCTGAAATGCGAATAACAATAAACAATATAAGTATACAATCTCACAGCGACAAATTTAAACCAGTAGCAGTGAGTAGACCCGATGGGAAGGCCAGTCTCCCAATGTAAACTATGCACCGTTATGGTTTTCTGTGTATGTATGTGTTTTCTGTGTGTAAGTATTCATACGTACCCAGTCTTGCATCTCCAGCTCTGTAGCTGCTGAGAGTCTGATTGGCCACCTCTGTTTGGTCCGCTCAGGAGTGTAGATGGCAAAAGAGTGTTTGGAGTCGTTCAGCACGGGGACCAGGATGGTGACATCGTTGACGAAGGCGTGCAGGTACTGCAGAGAGTAAATAGAGGAAGAAAGGAAAAGAGAAAAGCATAATTGAAAACAGAAACAGCAGACCTTGAGCATATCAAAAAATATCTTCCTCAATAATGCTTTGCGGCTGAACGTATTCAATGCTGTATTGACACAAGTCTAATCCACAAAGCACCAAGCTGAAAAAAACACACTTCTTTCTCACCTTTTTCTCCTCGTAAAAGTTGTAGTAGATGAAGAGGATGCCGTCCTTGTTGCCCTCGGCTCCTGAAAACTGCTCCAAGGCAAAATGAACGTCGATCCACTTGTAAGGCTTCCAGTCTCTCCACCACTGCATGGTTCCCTTCTTCACCCACACCGACTGCGTTCAGCCAGAGGAGGGAATAATTAGTGATGAATAAAAGAGGGAGGTCCAATACCACACAGAGACAGAGAAATAATGACTTGAAAAAGAACAAATATTCAGAAAATCAAGTATAAGAGCTCCTGATGTTGAGGTCACATCCTCTGTGCGTACCTGTTCTATGGCTTGTTCATAATGTCTGAAATTATCCATCTCTCTTTTGGTCCTCTCACTGAGCTGCTCAAAGATTTGTCTCCTCCAAGCGGCCGTCTGGGCCGGGCTGACGGACAGACTCATGGACTGGACTGACTGGACCAAAGCTGGGGAAGACAGAAAGAAAATCAATAACTGAAAAAAGGAAAGGAAACAAAATGGAGCTTAGCTGAACCACTGGTTTCCTGCACATGTGGAAATAAAATATACGATACGATAATACTTTATTTGTCAGATCAAGTCTGAAATTTGACTTGCGTCACAGCAGCTCCATGTCCAACATCAACAGACAAGTATCCAGACACAATACATGAAACACAAACAACAAACATTTAACATAACAGCACAATCAGTGAGAGAAAACATGTATACACATATAATCGTGTTAGCCTTGACTTTGGAGCAAATACATTACATGAAGAGTCACTATTGTGTGTTCTGGAGCTCAGATGTTATTAAATAATTGTTACATTGTATTTCCTCACATGCCTCCTTAGCTCCATAACTAAGTTTCCTTCAAGAATTTGAGGTATCACAAGGTTAGTAATTGATCATTTTGTACACTTTCCTTTTAGCTATACAGAGATGTAGAGTCTAACAGCTTAATCTAATACTAGAAAGTGATTAATTGAACTCACATGAGGCGTTCATGGAGTTGAACCAGTTGAGTTGGGAGTGACTGTCCACGTTGCAGCCCCCCCCGCTGACCCAGGCCCACAGAGGGCGCTCATCAGCCCCGTACGGGTCCTCCATGGCCAGAGTGTACGTGGCCACTGACGACAGGCTGCAGGTGTCCACAGAGTCCAACACAAGTCCAGTCTGCTGAATCTGCGCCTCCTCCAGATCCACATTACACCACTGGGGGTCCTGAGGGGGAATAGCTACACCTGCACAGGGGTCTTTGAGATCTTCCTCAACAGCGAGGGGTTCCTCCTCCAAAACAGCAGGGGGAGTTTCCTCTCTGGAAGTCTTTGCCGGTTCTCGGTCAGAGACGAGTTCAGAGATGAAGCTGTCGCTGGTGACTTTGGGGATGCGGGGTTTGGGGGTCTCGACAGGTTGGTCTGTGGGGGCATCAACGAGGGACTCGGGAGAGGAGGAGGTGATGATGCCGGTGGCTCCGTCTGTAGATCCTCTCTCCGACTCCACATCGCTCACTGCTGACTGAGCGCGCACCTCACCACAGAAATAAATGCCAGCACTGTGACGTGGAGGGGGAGAAGATGACAAGTGTCTTACAATAAGTACAGACATAAGGATAGACATTCAGAACAGCAAGAAACCTGTCAGCTTCAAATAGGACTTTTAACCTTTTCAAAGTGCTACAAACTGAAATTAAAAGGCGTTTTCTTCTTTTACAGAATGTATTTAAATGTTAATGTTGCACTGTTGAGGAACCTGCAATCTATATGACTACACCGTAGTTGTGTATATGCAGGGTTGGAGGGTTACTTTGTAAATGTAATCAGTTACTGATTACTGAATACATGGCTCTGAAAGTAATCCGAATACAGTTACAGTTACGTGTCTTAAAAAAGGTAATCAGATTACTTTTAGATTACTTTTGGATGACTTTCTTTTTCCATCACAGATGGGTATGTTTTGGTGAACAGGAGACACAAAAAGCTAAATGAAACTGAACGTGTTTTACTGTTTTAATGGCTTATCAAGAGCACAACTGAAACATAACATCTGAAACGATGTAACAACATAATTAACTTTTTGGGGATGCAGCTTGGGATGTGAGGAGTGAGGGACACGGCTTAGAACGGGCGTGTCGCCTTCTGTCCTGCCAGTGTTGGCATGGACATGAATTAAAATGTCGAACTCAGACTTCATTTTAAGGACATGTCGGCCAGGGGTGGAGAGCTATATTTGTTTAAGCACCGGATCGGTAAAACAGGAGAGTGTGTGCACCAGTCTGCCTTGATCTATGAATTCATGTCCGTGACACTCACAGTATCTGCTGCCCACAGCTGTTTTATAGAAGGAAAACCTCCTTCACTTCATGAAATCTCTGCAGCGCCAGGAGGCAGCGGGAGGGTTAACTCAGCCTCTGAGAAGACGAGCGCGCCGTGCCTTTAACGCACCGCCTTTCACGCACCGCCTTCACTGTGTTTACCTTCAGAATCATTAGAAAGGCTAAAGAGTGACCGCAGGCTGATGTGTTTTAAACACACAACTCTACACACACGATTTAAACGCAGACTTTTGTTCCTCCATGTTACGTTGTTATCGTTTCACTGAGCGGACCCGCACATTTTTTTCAAACGCTCCCTTTTTGGTCCATCTGCGGCGGTAATAGGTTTTGTGCGCTGTGATGATTCGGCTACCTTTAGTAATGAATATTAAATGTTGTGAGGAAATCTTTCCACCAATAATTCCAATAAGTAATCCAAAATGTATTCACTTCAGGTTTACGAAAGTAACTGTAATCAGATTACTCGTTTTTCAAATGTAACGCAAGCTGAATACAGTTACTTGATTTTTGTATTCTGATTACGTAACGCCGTTACATGTATTCCGTTACAACCCAACCCTGTGTATATGTTATGACAAAAAACCTTTGAATCTTGAATATAATGGCCTGCTCTGGTAGCATGTTTGTAATTCTAATATTCCTGCTTCCTCCAATGATTAAGAAAATGTGATTATATACATTTAAGCACATTTGCAAAACACTTGATTGATCTAACACCAGAAAATAAATGTAATCATGCAATGATAAATGTTGGTTTGTTATTAAACTGTGACTCAGTCCAAGCTCGTCTTTACGTTCGGAAGAAATAAAACATGTTAAACATTATCGTAAGATTTTGGCTCATGCAAATACTAAAGTTTAATAACCAATATGTTTTCAAGTGTGTGTGTGTGTGTGTGTGTGTATGTGTCCACTGGGCATCAGTACCTCTGCAGGGAGCTTGCGCTGGCACTGGAGTGGGATCGGTCTCCGTCTCGGGGGACAGTGATGGCCCTCCAGGTTTTCCCACTCAGCTCACTTGAGGTCACACCTTGTCTGAAGTACACCGCCCGATCCTCAGAGCTGATAGCCAAAACCTACACACACACACACACACACACACACACACACACACACACCACACACACACACACACACACACACCCACACCACACACACACACACACACACACACCACACACACCACACACACACACACAACACACACACACACACACACACACACACACACACACACACACACACACACACACACACACACACACACACACACACACACACACACACACACACACACACACACACCACACACACCACACACACACATCACAACACACACACACACACACACACACACACACACACACACAACACACACACACACACACACACAACATCACACACACACACACACACACACACACACACACACACACACACACCACACACACACACACACACACACACACACACCACACACACACACACACACACACACACACACACACACACACACACACACACACACACACACACACACTAACATTGATAGCCTCGTGTGCAACGTTAAATCAACCAGTTTTCTGCAGGTTGTGTGGTCGGTCACGTGGCTTTAATTTACCTGGTCGTTGAGTCCGACGTTGATCATGATCATTTCTCCCACCATGTTGATCCAGCCCGAGCCACAGGGGTTGTGGGAGTTAATGCCGCGTCTGAACCACACCTGGCAACGCAGGAGAGCGGGGAGATTTTTAGCTAGAAACCCACATCTGCTTAAATATAGTAATGGTTAATACCAGTCTAGAAGTCTTGTTCCTCTTTGCTACTGCAGATTTCCTGAGGGGCATATTGTGCCATTGAAATCACTCTGTAAATCCTCATTTAAAGCTTTTTAGATACACTATATATGTATTCTCTGTTGGGCTATAATTCTGTTTAACAGGATTATTTAACTCTGTACATGACTATCTAATGACGCCTGAGAAAATTGATAGATTTAAAATAAATGTAAGTGTTCAAGTCACAGTCTATTTGCCTCAGGAAAGAGATACAGAGCCATCATAACACAACTCATATAAACGGTACTAAAATGTAGGAAAATATACTAATATGGAAGTAACAGACATCGGATAATGGTAATAAAAAACATACTTAATTTAATGAATGAAAGGAAGCAGGTATTTGTGTGATGCAATAATCCAATCATGTTGTTGTGTGCCTTTTATGATGTTTACTAGAGATTTTTCTCACTTTGTTATCCTTGGTCAGAGCCCAAACAACGTTGACTCCCACAGCGACATGTGTGGCTCCCACATCAGGACTGGGAGAATCCACCGTGACCCACGAGGTTCCTGATAAGAGAAAAATATTAATATAAGTATATATATGTACAACACAACAACATACGAAACGTATATATATCAATATTCCAATTACTTGTATATAGACTATTCTGCACAATTCCTATTATATTATATTTTATTGTAATTACTTGCACTATTATCTGTTTTATTGTGTTGCACTGTTGGAGAAGCCTGTGACCTAAGCATTTCATTGTCATAACTACACTGTAGCTATATACACATGATATTAAAAGCCTTGAACCTTGAACGTCTTCCCACCAGTGTACCTTTGGGGCAGTCTCTGCTGACGCCCTCCCTGACGAGGAGCTGGCCCTCCCACAGCACCGCCCACACCAGATCCCCGGGGCCACAGCTGATCTGGATCACCTCCCCGGGGAGAGACACCTCCTCCCACACTGAGCCCTCAGGATTCAGGTGATAGATCCCCTCTCTGAACCAAACCTGGAGAGAAAAGGAGGGATGAGAGAGGGATGGAGGGACAGTACGTGAGGGAATAAATCTATATGCAATATAAAAAGCTGCTATGGGCAAAAACAAGGTCAAGTAACGTTTGAATGTGCCTATCTTTGAAGAACATCGCTTACAATATACACATTATTCACTTTAAAGAAATGTTTGTGGTGATTTCTTTCTACTGATTTAATTTAGTTTTATATTTTTGTTGCTGTTATCATTTTTGTACCCTTCCCGTAGGGTGTTATATAGGACAGTGGTTCTCAAATGGGGGTACACGGACTCCTAGGGGTACGTTGGAGTACTGCAGGGGGTACGTGAGATTTATTTTATGTTAATGAAAAACAAAAAATGGATAAATATACCAATTTTAGGAAAAGTAACGAAGTTTGAGCAGTGTGGGTTTTATATTCATAGACTAGAGTTACACATATTTCAAAACTCGAAGTGTAATAACTGCAGTTGCCTCCCTGTCAGAATGACAAAGATCCTCAGTGAGGATCAAGCCCATGTTTCTCACTAAATTGTAAGTACAACTTATTAAAAAGATCAGTTCAATGCAACTAATGTCGTCTCAGTGTTATTGCATGATATTAAAATTGGTTTGCCATGAATTTAGTGATGGATTGTAAACATTTGAAATGTAGCATTTAAGTGCTTCTCAGTTACAATGTTGTTGTTTTAATAAATCAGACACTGATGGTGCAGCGCTGTACTGTACCTCTTTATATAGGCTTTGTTCCCCTAACAAATAGTTTTTGTGTTGATCAGGGGGTACTTGGCTGATTTTTTTTCAAAGGGGGTACATGATTGAAAAAAGTTTGAGAACCACTGATATAGGATTTGTGCAAGTTAATGGTCTGCAAAGGCTAAAATCTCAAAGTTCCCTCCAGAGGTTTTTAAAAAAAAAATGTAGTTAAACACTCACACAAAAAGTGCACTATTTATACATTTACAAAAATAAAATCACGTATAGAAAAGACATGTGTGCTATCAAACCGGCTTGTGACCATTAATTCAAAACAACATAAAGAAAATAAATGAAAATAAATTATTTTTCCGTAAACTGTAAAGTATTTGAACCACAAACAATTATTTTGCTTAAAGAAAGTAATGAAAGTCCTAAAATCCTGCCAGCCATAAAGGATGCATTAAATTAATACGTTTTGTCTAATAGCATCACAACATTTATTTTGTTGTTATTTTTTAAATTGCGGAACCCCCCCTCAATTTTTGTTTTGCTGCCGCTAAGCATGCTGGGAGAATGACATTTGAGATTGGAGGACGTTCCGGAACCAAGAGCAAAACCAAACTGTGACATCACAGCGGCTTTGGTCGTGGGGTTCTAAGAGTTTGCAAGTAGAAGTCTCTCAGAACTGAATTCACTCTTCTTAACAGACCGATGAGACACATTCAGTTTGATCAGAAAACCTTTACAGTCTCCAACAGACAACACACATCTTCACCCCAACACAAGTCTACAGACTGTGCAATGGATAGGAGAAACTATTCAAAAAACAGGGGTGATCCCAAGCCATATGACCATGAACATGCCGTGGAAGAATGCCTGAACAAGATCCACTGCAGAAATGGCAAGATATACGGCTTGGTTGATTTCCGCAATGCATATGATTGTGAGAAGAAGACTTTTGCCCACCAGATGCGCAAAGTAATCCACAAGGTGAAAAGTCTGGAAGAAGGGCTGAGTTACAGGGACTCAGGGTTTGGCGAAAAGCCCCAAGGGCAGTTTGACACTGACGATCTGGCTCTAAAACAAGGCACAGATCCCAAGCCATCTGACCACGAAGATACCGTGGAAGAATCCCTGAAGAAGCTCCACTGCAGAAATAGCAAGATGTACGGCTGGGTTGATTTATGCTTGGCATATGATTGCGAGAAGAACACTTTTGCCCACAAGATGCGCATAGAAATGGACAAGGTGAAAAGTCTGGAGGAAGCGCTGAATTACAAGGACTCAGGGTTTGACAAAAAGCCCCAAGCGCAGTTTGACACTGGAGACCTGGCTCCAAAACAGAGCACAGAGTCCGAGGTCCAAATGATTAAGAAGCAAGTCAGTCAGTTGGATGACGAGAAGAGAGAGCTGGTGGAAAAGCTCTCAAAGATGGAGATGACATTGAAAGAGGTGGAGCAAAAGAACGAAGAACTGGCTGAAAAGCACCTGAGCTCGCAGAAGATGGTGAAACAGTTGATTGTCCAGTTAAAAGAACAGGAGGAAAAGTTCTCCCAGAAACTGGCTGACAAAGACCCGAGCTGGGAGCCTGAGCTGGAAGAGATGTCGATGAAGATAAATCTCATGGTCAGAAACAACAGCAACTTGGAGAAAGAATTCCAAGCGTTGAAGGACAAGATGGGACAGCAGAAGGACAAGTTCCCAAAAGTCCTGGACGAAAAGAATGTGAGCTCGGAGACTGAGCTAGAAAAGGTGGAGATCAAGCTAGAGCAGTCCATGAACAAAAAGACGCGTCTGGACCTGAAAAACAAGGACTTGGAGAAGGAGGTCCAAGATCTGAAAGACGATAGGACAGAGCAGGAGGAAAAGGTCCCCAAAGAAAAGGCTGATATACACCAGAGCTGGGAGGCCAAGTTCAAGGTGATGGAGAACAAGTTAAAGGAGGTAGAGGAGGAGAAGAAAACCCTGGCTCAGAAGAACCTGAGCTGGGAGGCGACAGAGAAGAAGAGAAAGGATGAACGTAAAGTCCTGGATGACTTGTTCTTCAAGAGGGCGAATGAGGAAAGGATCCTCGCTGTGCGGAAAAAGCTTAGCAGGAAACTAAAGAAGGCGATAAAAAAGGGATCAAAATGGAGGAAGCTGAGGCTACAGACAACGCCTCAGAGGAGACGGTGGAGACAGAACTGGAGGGAACGGAGAACAACAGGAAGGGAGTGTTGAGCTGTGACAGTGACTCAAAGATGGACCACAGTCACTCTTCCTCACCCCTTCCTCTCTCCCCTCCTCCCTCAACTCCTTCCTCCATTTCCCTTATCTCCTTCTTCCTACCTCACCCCTCCCCTTTTCTCACATGCCAACTTCCTTCTACCACTAACCTCACCTCCTTCCTCCCACCTCACCATCTCTCCCCTCACCTCACCGACAGACTCCATCTCTGACTCCACCGCCAACTGAAGAGTCGCCAAAGAGGACTCGTATGCATTATAAAAATGGTGTTAAAAAACTTAAAGGTTACCTGGTTGGTAATGGGCTAGTTTTTGCACAACCCATCAAACGGTTGTGATATCACTAAGTGGCCCAAAACTGATCATCTCGTTTTCAGGTTGTTATATACATTAAATGTGTCAGGACGTAGAGAGAGAGAGAATCTCTTAACGCGGAGCAGACACATTCATGTTTGAAAGACATGAAAACGTGGATATTGAATAATAGCTGACCTTTAAGCAACATTTCATTAAACAAATAAAATGAAAACACAAACCAAATGTAAATGTCTGTGCCTCACTGTGTAAACACATACAGTCTAAAGTCAATATTACTTAAAGGTCACCTATCATGCTATTTGTAGGCAATGGCATAGGTCTCAGATATATAAAAAACATGTCTATAAAGTGTTTTGCTCAAAATACCAAACAGATCACCCATTCTAGCCATGCCTCATATCCCTCTATTTCACTTCCTGTTTCAAAAGTGCTGATTTGAAGTATAAAGCTTTAAAAAAAAAAAAGATTTGATTAAAAAAAAGGAGGGGTCTGAGCTCATGCGGGACCCGGCAGCTACTGTCTAAACTAAATGCTGCCGTGATGAAACGCCATATCATGGATTATCAAGGATTCTCTCTGAAACAGTCTGGAGCTCAAAGGCTTTCTCTCTTGCCGGTTATACCACAAGGTGAGTTCCTTTTTATTTCCTGCTTCTTCACACACATGCTCTCCAGTACAGGTTAGCTCTGAGTGTTAGCGATGCTAATGTAAACACCGACCATATTACGTCGGGCATTGTTTCTGATAGCAACATTTCTGATAGTGCCGTGGGTCCACATTTCAGATATTACGTCATATCGGACGCAAATCTGGATCAGCTCCGTTGTTCCCCGTTTTTAGAGATTTGGGTACGGAGGAAAAGAGAGAGGGTTTTATTTTCTGACGCTGCGTGAGTTCCCTGACGCACCGGGGACCAGAGTCCTGCATCGGGTCGGGTACCCCGCAAAAAAGGTGATTCGCGGGTGGTATTTTTTCAAACCCTTTTTTCCGGGTTCGGTTCTGGGTAAAACAAAGATGATGCGGGTCGGGTCGCGGGTGTTGTATAATAAATATATTAAAATTATAATAATTTAGTTTAGTGTTTAAATCCTCAGACCTCTCCCCCGCGGGACCGCGCATAATCATAACCTCTGCAGCGCATCAATCTGCTCCTGAGCGCGCCACATTCGAAATGGCTGAGGTGAAGCTCTCTAGCGGAGAATACAGCATTTTCAATAACACTTCCTCAAGAGCGAAATCCAGCGTCTGGAATGCTTTCGGTGTCATCCTAGATGGAGCAAATAACCAACATCCCACGCTTTTTGAGACAAATATGAAACTGCGTGTGTTAATAATTGCACGTTTTCACTGCTCATATATATGCGGGTTCGGGTCGGGTTGCGGATCTTGTGCCGACGGGTCGGGTCGGGTTGCGGAACTAATTGGCAATATGTGCGGGTAGCGGGGCGGGTTCGGTATTGCACGTCGCGGGGGCGGGAGCGGGTCTTGAAAATCAGACCCGTGCAGGACTCTGCCGGGGACACATATTTATGAATAAAAGACATGAAAAAGTGCATTTTGCATGATAGGTCCCCTTTAAGTTCTGGTATTTATTCATTTTATGTTTTAAACAACACTGTTAGAAAAAACCATAATAGAATAGGTATGTATAGATCTGTGTTTCGGTCTCACTAGAGAGGTTCAATTCCAGTGTTTTGTGTTCTAAAAATGTGTTCATTTCATATGAGCTGTTGAAATATTCAAAGGTGTTTCATTCAAACTTGATTGAATGTATAAACTAACTGTTGTTCAGTTGGATCACTATGCTGCTGCTGGTCTCTCCATAGTGAGGAGAAGTTTCTGTTGTAAATATGAATGTCATGATTTTTCAAAAACCCCAGCTGGATATGTATTATTTAATATTTCATTATCCTTTTCACAAAATATCAGCTTTGTAATCCATTTATATGAAAAGACAAAAGAGTTTGTGTTGTCCATTATTTACACTCTCCTAAAAAACAAAATCATATTGTACAAAACAAAAAAGTAATATTGCTAATAATAATATTAAGAAATGAACAATACAAGCCTTAAAGTACACTGCCATGTGTGTGTGTGTGTGTGTGTGTGTGTGTGTGTGTGTGTGTGTGTGTGTGTGTGTGTGTGTGTGTATGTGTGTGTGTGTGTATGTATATGTGTGTGTGTGTGCCTGTGAGTATGCCTGTCTGTGTGTGCCTGTGTGTGTGCCTGTGTGTATGCCTGTGTGTGTGCCTGTGAGTATGCCTGTGTGTGTGTGTGTGTGTGCATGTGTGTGCATGTGTGTGCATGTGTGTGCCTGTGTGTATGCCTGTGTGTGTGTGTGTGTGTGTGTGTGTGTGTGTGTGTGTGTGTGTGTGTGTGTGTGTGTGTGCATGTGTGTGCATGTGTGTGCCTGTGTGTATGCCTGTGTGTGTGTGTGTGTGTGTGTCAGCTGTACCTTGCCCTGCAGGGAGACAGCCCACAGTGACAGCCGGCCTCTGGGCTCCTCGTTGATCTCCCATCCTCCACAGCTGATGTCGCTGAAAGGATCTGGGAGAGTCGTCTGCTGTGGGGGGATCTGTCAACACACACACAGGGAGATATAGAGGTTAACACACAGAAAGTTATACACACACTCTAATACAAAGACACGAACAGTTTGACCCACCTTGGCCCAGGTGTCCATGGATCTGAATCTCCTGTAGCGGAGCCATCGCCTGCGACGCACACAGGAGTTCCACTTCTTGTCTTTGGTGTAGTAGGCGGGAAAATCAATGGCGTAGGTCCATCCCTGCAGATACAAACAAATCCATCATTATAACAAGGATTAGAAAGACCTTACCATGCAACACAACTTTTCAAAATTGGTGAGAGTATTGCAGCAACGATTCATAAAACCCAGACATTCGTTTGCATTTTACCACCTCTGGTTGTCTTGTCTCAAAGTCAACACTTAAAAAAAAAAATGTTTTTCGTGAGATGCCTGAAATAACGTCTGTGGTTAACACAAGCTGAACAGATTTTCACGTTTTGTTCCAGGACTTAAAATACATCAGTAAATATCATGTCAAACGAGTCTACTAAACATAATATAGCCACATATTAGCTGCCTTTACCTTAGTGGTGGTGATATGAAGTCATGTGACCGACATGTCATTCATTTATAGCCTAACGTTAGCTTTTACTCTTAGATTGCATTTACGCTTCAACGATCACAAGGTGGTGTTAATATGTGAAAACTATCTGCCAAACAAAACGTGTAACTATCATTAGGTGTTTGCCATGGAGCTTATTTGATGCAATGCAGAATCCAATGGAAAATGTCTAAGGCTTTTCGTTGATAGAGCCCATGAATGCTAACTTCTGAGTTGTCCTACAAAGTTATGTCATCACTGCACCACTCTATTATTATAATTTAGAAACAGACACTAAAGTAAGCAGATTACAGATGAGATAAAACAATAATTGGACACTCACCACTTTCTCTGTGGGCTCTCCCTCAAAGTTTTCATCCACGTGCCAGTCACCCTCCCACTCCCAGCTGTTGGAGGGAAGCAGGAAGCCGTCCAGAGGCTGGTGCTGCAGACCGGTGACATCACTCCACTGCCAGCGGTCGCTAGGCAACAAACGATCTGAGAAACTATCCACAGGATTCCAGCGCTGAGGGAAAGAAAGATGGACGAACACGGATGTCATGTCGGAGCACAAACGGGGTCAAAACCAACAGAGTTAATGTTTGTTTAGCCAACGCTTAAGTGCAATAAACCTGCATCCTTTCAAATGTTCAAGAAGTCTGATTGTGTAGAAGTCTATGAGAAAATGACCCGGCTTCACACCTGATTCATTACCGAAGTCAAGTTTTACCTAGTTTCAAATCGTCTTCAATACAACATGAGGTTCCTTTTTTTACATTATGGTTCAATTTAGATTGCAAAGCAGGGTGTGCTTTAGGGACTGGCTACGCTGTGTTTGACGTGTTGCTAACAAAAAGATGTCTGTCTTGGGTGTTGTCGTTGTTTGTGTCTAACTCTTTCACAAAGTGTTTTTAGCTCATAAAATGTAGGGTCAACATTTTGGTCACCCTATAAATGTCGCTTGGTTTTGCTCCAACCTATTGTATCATTTTCAGTTACAGAAGAAACAAGATTGTGGCACTTTGTGAGGCTTTTAAAACAATTGATAACGTCTATGAAATCCCCCTGGTTCCCCCCCAATAACCTCTTTCCAATTTCACTGTGTTTGGACTGCCACAGAGCCACTTGTAAAGTAAGGGATGTACTCTGAGGAAGTAGCTGAGTATTGACATGACCCGGTAGCTGTGTGACAACATGAAGGTCCAATCGGTGACCAATCATTTAAAAAGCAAAGAGGTACTTTAGTACACAGCTGTTTGTGGCAACAGAGGAAGTGGGACTGTTGTATGAGGATGTTGCACTCTTTCAGTCATTCAATCGCACATAACACAACTCCAAGGGGAACTCCACATTTTCACTTATGACACTTAGTGCAGGACATGGATAGCCCAAGACAAATTAAGCATTTTTTACTTGCATATTAAGAGAGTTTATTTATAACATCGACTCAAATGAACGTCCTTTTTGAACGTTTTATATCAATTTTGAGGAGAGACCCACCTGGTTCTCGTAGGTCTCCTCCTGGTATCGAACGGGCAGGTCAGACGCGTGGAGGTTCAGGTAGATGTTGTTGTCGCAGGCGATGCCCCAGCAGCACTGCTGAGCGGCCGTCACGCGCTTGAACTCCATGTGAGCGTCGCGGCACTGCTCCCACAGCCCCCCCCCCGTGGAGAGGCTGTAGACCCGGCCGTACACATCCACCGCCCACAGCAGGGAGACGGGCATGGCTGCTCCGGAGACCTGGAACACAGGAAGAAGAGGGTGGGAGAATGGAGATAATTTTGCTTTAAAATCAGACAAATCATTTATTTACAACAATATTTAACAATACAACGTATATCATCTCTGTCTTTTAGTTCCAGTGTGTCATTGTAGAAAAACCTGACCATTATTTATAGCTGCTTAAACTATGCCCAATCAAATTCATCAGGATATGAATAATTGTTTACATATTTAGAAATGAATCGTATTATTATGTCGTAAAATAACATACATTTGATGTTTGGTACACTAATATTTAAAATGCTAGGAGGAGAAAAGAACTTCTACTCACAATTACTTTCATTGTCAATTATTCTGCACATTATTTTCTTCATTCATCGTTTGGACTTTAAATTGTCAAAATTTGTTATCATAGTTCCTCAAAATCCACGTTAAATATCACGCCTTTTCAGTCCAGAATGCTACGATTTGGGGTTTAATTTGATAAAAAGCTTGGATTGGTATGCAAGAAGGTGTCCTTTCAACTCAACTCCGATGACATCGTCAAACATTGATATTTTCTTCCTTTTAAATAGAGCTGACTTCCACTTTAGATGTCCAAATATGAAGCAATTATTACTGTGTTATGATGTAATTGAATCTGCCCTAAATGTCTCAACAACTGTATAGTGAAACCACATGACATTTGACATGGACCTAGTCAGGCTCATTCTGAACAGGAATCCTTTAAAATGTTCTTATAAAGAGGAGGACATAATACATGTTTTAAGTCCATAGACTGTCACATCAATTATGATCATGTGTCGAGGTGGCATTGATCCATGCTCACTGTGTGTGTATGTGTGTGTGTGTGTGTGTGTGTGTGTGTGTGTGTGTGTGTGTGTGTGTGTGTGTGTGTGTGTGTGTGTGTGTGTGTGTGTGTGTGTGTGTGTGTGTGTGTGTGTGTGTGTGTGTGTGTGTGTGTGTGTGTGTGTGTTTGTTTACACTGACCCACTATCATGTCACTGACCCAAACCCTGCATCCTGGCTAATGTCTACACGACATTAAAGCCTGCATGGTTAATGTGAAATGACAGATCATTTCATAAACAATCCAAGGGTTGTTAAAATCTTGCTGTCTCCATTTCACTACATTGCGTAAGTGGAAGGGATGCTGCTGCTAAAAGGCCAATGTTTATCCACCTAATTTGGATAATAATGACATACATAGACATTTAAAGTAAGGATATAACGATGCTACAGTAAAATAAACTGCAATATGTTTATTAATGCATTCGTTTCACTGTATAACAAGATAAGGCAGCTGCATATTAGCATGGTGTCAATAACACTAGCTACAAATGAGCCTCACTGTGCTGCAGGTGTAGATATTACACGTAGTTCAGCTGTAAACTAACACAGTGTTCAGACAGTAAAAAGGCTTTAAAGACAACACTCAGCTCGCTTTTAGTGCAGGCTTACAGGCTTAGCATGCTAGAAATAGCAAATTAACAAGAAGTTAAAAACACACCAACCGTAGCTTCCTCTCATTAACAGTCAAACGGAGCCGGTGAAGTGTCCCCGCTGTTCATACGGTGAGAGGTGATGAATAAACAGCTGTTTCTATCATAATGTGTGGTCGGTAGCTTCAGATTTTCACATCATATTTCTCCCCTACGTGAAACCGGAAGAGTCGCTGTCTCTCGATTCCTATTGGCTGTTTGCGGGGCAGGTGTTTGTGGCGTCACCATCCAGCAGGGGGCGCTGCTGCCTCATACACTGAATTGACTGATGTGTATATCAAGTAAATACTGTACTTTGACTTGAGTATTAATACTTGTAATAATTAAAAGTACTTAATACTTGTTTTACTCTAATCCTTTCATCTGGTAACTTTAATTGTAGCAGGAACAGGGTAATTATTGTACTGCTGCTTATTTTAGAGAAATAATAAATCACACCGAATACACGTCAAACCAATAACAATGGCCTCTTCTGGGGAAAAGGGCTGGTCAAAAGGTTTATGATTAAAGAATACTGAATTCAACATTTGAACTAAACAAAGTATTTAGTAAAGTATTGCCGATTAGGTTGATTCCCTGCAGAACAACAGCTGATGAGACAGGATCGATCTCCATTAAACTCAATGGAAAAATAAACCAATTAGCCCCCTCTCTAACGGTCTGTGCTTCAGGTCCAAATTACGATAAAAAGAAATATCTATTTTGGTGTCAAGTGTGAGTGCAGTAAGCTCTGTAAGTGTTCTTGTTAAGAATGTGCACCGTCGGATGCAGCTTGTTAAAAGTGACATGTGGAGAAAAGCTCAGATTTAGCAGCCCAACAACAACAACAACAACAACAACAACAACAACAACAACAACAACAACAACAACAACAACAACAACATAAAACAGTCACCTGACTGATGACCCAATCCTTTCCAACTATGACTTGCATTTCTGTTTCGGTTAGTCTTGTTTTTCTTATTTTTTTAGGAGTGTGCAAGTTCTCTTTGGATCCTTACTTTTTGTAATGTAACATCACTCTAAAACAGGGGTGTCAAACTCAATTTAATCGCGGGCCACGTCAGCATTATGGCTGCACTCAAAGGGCCTGTTGTATAAAAATACATATATAAATATATATATAAAATAATGTATTATATTACATTATTGCCTCTGCATTGGATTATTATTGGATAGGGTAATAACTTCATACGTCTGAAAGCAGAAGTCTGGGGCAAATAATTGCAAGTCTCTTCAGTGAGCACGTCACAAAATGATTTAAAAAGAAAATCCAAATTCTGAAAAAAAGTCAAAATCAAAAAACAGAAGTGACATTTAAAAAAAAGTAACATTTAAAAAAGAGTCAAATTCGGAGAAAAAAGGCATATTTAGAAGAAAAAAAGTCTAATTCTGAGATGCATTGTGGGACGTGTAGTTTATGGGCAACGTGCTTCTGTAAATCATCATGTAACCGTATAATAAACATATTATATTCTTTGCAAGCTCTTGTGGGGCCACAGAAAATGAAGTCACGGGCCGGATTTGGCCCCCGGGCCTTGAGTTTGAAACCCCTGCTCTAAAATAACCCTGTATTTTTCTTCAATGTTCTTTATATTGTTTGTTAAAGTATTTGGCAAATTGGCTTTTTATTTGACTTTGCTTCGAATTTCACACAGTAAATATATGTAATTATTTAAATGTCAGTGTCTTTTTGAAGAAGCAACCTTTATCGTATCATAACAGGAGTCACAGTTTAATTTTCTATCTGTTTTATTGAGAAAAAAAGACTACATTTGTCAACACAGTGGCAAGGTATTCTCTGAAGAAAGCATGTGGCAATAACTACGACGGGTTCACTTACACACGAGTGGGTCAATGAGGATCAATGAACTGTTCAGTTTGTCATTATACATATGGCAGAAAAGGTCCTCACAAAACAGTTAATACGGTTGTTTAACGACCCACTTTATTCATACAATCCAAATGTCTACCATAGGTACATTTTTTATTTTGTATAAACTGTGCATTTTACACAGAATCTTAAACAACAGTGAAACCATGAGGAGTGAAAAAATAATCCTTGCATCAAAAGGTCATTTAAAATACATACCAGCATTCAATCTAAAATTATATTAAAGGGGCGCCTATACAGAACGGACTTCTGTACACGTTTCTTTATTTAAATATCTTATACAAACTTAGTGTATATAAATAGCCTTCCCATAACAAACAGCGACAAACTGTTCTGCCTTTACTCAAATGACAATTTCCCCCAACACGTCACTCTCCCTTCATTCTCACAGTCCATCATAAGAAAGACAAAAAATAACTATATTAAAAACATAAAATAACAATGTATGTATATATTTTGGCAAGTCAGGTAGGCAGCCTGGGTGCTAATCCTCTCCTTCAGATCCCTTCATTTAAATCACTGCACTGACTGCAGCACAGGAGCCTGGAAAGACCTCCTGACACTGAGAGCATCTCGTTTGCATCTTAAAGGGACAGTTCACCCCAAAATGAAGATTCAGGTTTTGATCTCCTTGTTAGCATGTCTGTAGAAACTCCATCGGTGTCTAGCCAGAAGACAGAGTATCTCAGCTTTGTATTACAATCCTAACGTCAGTTTACTTGAGCTCGGGACATAAGATTTCCCCGTTGTAGCTTATGACATGAAAACAGTCAAACAAATGTATCTTGAATCTTGAAATGAATTCATAAAATGTCTGTCAACTTTCTGAAGAATTTGAAAGTTAACTGTTTTAGTTTTAATATTCGATTTGTAATCTGTTAAAAGTAGTTTGAAGTACTTTGTGAAGAGTTTGAGATTAAAGTGTTGCTAGTTTTCCTAAATTAAAAGTTAAATACTAAAGATGTTCAGTAAATTAAATGCCATTATTGCAACTTGCAATAGCCATCCAACGTATTTACATCCAGTTGTTACCTCTCTACATAGTGTTGTGGGTTTTATCTGTAGTCTGCTGTTCCCTGGCTGGATCCAGATTCCCTTATGCATGAAGCATCCATAGGAAATGATGCATTGCATGTAATCCAGTGCAATTATATTTCAGCTTCATAATGTACTGTTTGCTGTCTTTACTCTGTATCAAAGCTGAAGTCACAGCAGGTACAAACTGCCAATGCATTAAAAGCAATTAACTGCAGAAACTCTGGCTTCACTTTGGGGTGAATTATCACTTTAACTCAAAAAACGACACTACAAAACTTTGCAGACTTCCTGATTCTGCAGTGTTGGTGTTAAAACGCACACCGTCACAGTCAAACACACGTCAAGAAACAATGGATCCATTTAGTAGAGCTGAGAGAGACTAGCATGCAGGCTGCTGAGACGTCGGGTTGGGGTGATATTCGGTGTGTCGCAGGGCTCCCATGTGGCACGATTCCCCTGAAGGCATGACAGCGGTGAAAATCATTTTCTTTCATTTGTGTGTGTTAGACGTGTGGTGCTGATCTGTCATTCGTGACTGTTGGTCTCAGCTTCACTGTGGCAAACGGATTCCCTCCTCTGCAAATGAAGAAATAAAAACATCTGAATTAATGCCGGTAGCTTCTAATTCATCATCAACCAAAGTGTAATTGAAAAGGAAAATGTGTGAGTTTTTGTTAGTTGTGTTAAGTCACTCACCCTAGAAAGGGAGCGTTTGCAGTCCCATTGACTAAAGAAACCTGTAGTCAAAAAACACAGAAGAAAACACCCTTAAAGATCCAGTAGGGGAATAACTCACAACATTAAAAACACACCACCACAGCAGCCACCACCCCTCCCTCCAGCTGTGAAGAAAGTCAGTGTTGTCAGACCGGTTTGTTAAGATTTTTCATCGACAGTTTCCCCCCGCCTCCCTCATTCCCAATCAGTGCAGTAGAGCTTTCACGTACTTAAGATACACGTATTAGTCTGGAATCTGGATCATCTAGAACGGCTACACTGCTGTTTCTCTCACCTGAGGACGATTATAATCTTCCTGCATCCACAGAGCAATGTGACCCTCAATTTATAGGTCATAAATATCTGAGCTATGCTCCCTGAATGCTTCCATAGCACATATTGTCTCGTAAAATTCAGTACAGACAGTTCTTAAAGAAGCTACGAGCTATTCAGAGGAACTATTGTCAACCTAATAATTTATATTTGAGGATGTGGGTTCCTTTTAGAACAATAACTTTTAGTGAAACTATTATTTTATCACTTATTTCACAGCGCATGACAAGGGTGGATGAAGTGAGGGGACTTATTTGAGTATTATTGGAATTAATAAACGCAAATCTTTAGATTTTACTTCTGTTATCATGCTTGCAAAATATGTCAATGCATTCTTTACTAATTGCAGGAACACATGCACTTCCCTGCACTTCCTTTAGAGATCAGACAACAGCCAGAAGTCATGACTTGTATTCCCTGAATTCAGCCTTTCAAGCAACTTCTCAGCATTCCTCATCCAGGAACAAACTATAAGATAACAACATTTCAACTTGGACATCTAAAGTCCAAACATATAGAGATAAGAAATACTATCATAAATAAAGCTTAACTTGGAAATATAATGCTTTCAAAACACTTCAAACCTGCACGAAAAATCAATAATTACTTCGGGATAAGCGACATTTTCAAGGCAAACAAACTTAAAAGTGGATTTTGAGCCAGTAACACATTTGAGAAACCTTTAGTTCCTTGCTGGGTTAACATTTAAAGCTTTATACATCAATAACATCTACTTAATTACGTAGCCTAATATAATCGTCCTCTTTCCTTGACCTCTTTCAAGTGAGTTTAAGTAAAAGTGGTAAGGAAAAGATAAAGGCCAAAATGTAAATAAGCATTTACTTTCTATTGGACCACAGACAATAACTTTGTAGGGTGAAGGAGAAGGGATTTGAATGCTGCCTGAGAGGCTTGACTCAGGGAACAAACGCCCTAAACAGCAATAGTGAAAACCTTCACCTTTGCCTTACAGTCACAAAAACAACCATAAAATCAGCCCTTAGCCCTCTGAAAGAAATCCTCAAAGGCAGGGAAAGGACTTTTTTAACAATGGCACTAAGGTTTTGCTAAGTTCTAAAATAATCACCACTACGATTCCTACTGTTGGGAAGGCACACCCTCACTGTGTTTTATTTCCTGGTGAAACCCTGAGGCTGCAGATACAAAGGACGCCGAG